CGGAGTACTCTCACCTACCTAAGGTGGTAGTAGATGCTTATAATTACTGTATTCAGTCTAACTCTGGAGAGAACCGACAAATAAGCAGAGATGAAAGCATAGAACACAGACTAAGTGAACGGGCCAGGCGCTACTGACTCAATCTTGAAAATGAAATCCACCTGCCATCGGGTAACGGGACCCGTGTCCGACCTCACCGATCGCAGGAAACGTAGAGCCCGAGAGGGCGAGCGATGGAAGTGCGTCCCACTCCTGTTGAACCCCGCTGACCCACACCCACTTGCGCCGCTCCTCAACCTCTTTTCGACTATTTACCTACTTGAGACACTTGTGTTCGTCTGGTCGCATTCCCGCCGGCGAGCGACGTAATAGGGCTGCGCTGGGTGCTGCGGCCACCTATCGGGGTCTACCGGTAATCTACTTGAACCAGGTCCAATCTATGCATAGAGATTCTCGGGAAGTGCATTCCTGCCTATCATTCTTACCTGTCCGTAGCAGTGATGTGCGGGAAGGGTCGGAGGGAGAAGGAAAAACAAAAAAAAAAAAAAAAGAAACCAATCTTGAACCTCAGACCATTTCAATTAATATGATGGTCAGATGCAGCACTGGTTGAATTCTAGCGTGGGGTATACTGCAAGTGCTATTACTACGACACGCTTACAAGTCAACTCAATTTATAATAGAAACAGCCGAGCGACAGGAATGTGACGGGTGGGGACATCGTTATGATTCTCATACTATCGACTGCGCCGGGTTGGGCTTTCGATTAACCCTAAGCTTCTTTTATTTTTTTTTGCCGCCAATGCCCACGCCAAACGACCTTCAGGCTTGCCGTTATAGACTACTCCGGACATATGAACGTCTCAAATAAATTGCGAGCCCGTTCACCTGTCGGTCCATTCCGAAGGGGCCGGGTCGAGACCTTTGCAGTCGTGTGAGGGGGATCCATATCAATCATTTTAGCTTTAGGACTGGGAGAGAGAGACAGCCTGAAAAAGCAAGGTAGGTTTTACGAGGTAATCTGCTCCCCTTTTGCACAGCAGCCGAGCTTCCGAATATGACGGGAGGTCATTGCCATCGTTTAAAGAACCATGCTCTGCTGTCCAGCTAGAGATAAGAGAAGTGACTTAAGAGCTTGGTTTGAGCTAATGAAGTCAAGCTACAGGGTAGCTAGCTACCTTGGTAGGGGGCTCTACTCTTGGAGCTGCTAAGCAGCCCAGAGCCTGCATCGTATAAGCAAATCCCGAAGTCAATCACCAAGCTAGCTGGTAGGTACTAGTTAACTGACTAGCTCTGACTTTCATTCCCACAGTTCATCCCCTTCCTTCCCTTCCCATTGTTCCTACTAGCGAGCGGAATTTTAATGACACGAAAACAATATCCTTGTATACAGTACCCCTAAAGCTAGTCGGTAGATCTGTCAGTATAGGTATGTAGGTGAAAGTTAACCCTAGGATTCAGTTATCCCTCGCTGCCATGAGAACTGCCCTCCCTCCTCCTCCTCCTCCTCCTCCTCTCCCATTCTTCCCTCACTCTAACATTCTCCTACTGTACCGTCTGCATATGATGGTACCAGAATCCCTCAACAAGACACCTACCCCAGATATTGAATTCCGAATGCAGAAATCAGAAACGAGACTCCAGGTCCGACAAAAAAGCAAAATGATGCAATGACTGATACCAGATGCGCCGAGAAGAATGCCTGGTACCCAAGCCGGATTTTGCCGCCAATCAGAAGCTGCCGGCTGAGTTAGGCAGTACGTTTCCGAGGGTCGATGCATCACATCATGGCTATCAACTCAGCTACTACCTTACTGACCTTAGCTATGCCTTAGTTTTGAGGACATGAGTAACATGTCCGATCAATAAGCCATTCGCTGCGGACTATCACTTGAATGCAAGTGTGCATCAGCAGGCAGAGAAAAGGTACTGTGCAGTGTGTCGATCTATCTACATATTCAACGACAGGACAATTGTGGATAGACTCATTCCTTGAGGGGGGCAGACTTTGATGCATTCGTACAGGTTTGTTGTGAGCTGTACGGGTGTATAGTACAGTGTCTGATGAGGTCAGAAAAGACATAGCTCATCTGCATTAGTATTTAGTCCACAGTGACGATGCTGACCCTTTTCGACTAGTAGGAAGTAGGTACAGTCCCTGCACATGGTTTATATTATTATCCTTGCTGATCGCCCATTGCCCACCCACCTCACCCCACACATCAAGATCAACATCAATGCATAGACGCTACTATCAGATAGGAAGGTAGTAAGTATGTGCTCAGTATGTGTGTTCCTGTTTATCTAAGCGAAGGATTGCTGTAACTAACTTAAGTACACGAAACCACACGATCTACCCCTCTTATTCCCTTACCGATCGACAAAGTGATGAATGGGATTGTTCGCAACTCTGTCGGATCGGCTGCCGGAAGAGAAAGCGTCCCCATCCCCTCCTTCTCCTTCTATTCTCCCCACCGATTTGAGGTAAGCATCCGAGGTATTGAACTTGCGTCAATCTCATCTGCTCCTTCCTACCAGCTTAACACTGATCCATTTAGGTGCTATTCTAGGTATTGTACTGTACATTCAGGCACCCCTCCTTATCCTGCATTCATCTCAGCATATGCACGCCGAGCCACGCATAACCCTCAAACCCAAAGAGCAGCACAAGACAAGAAAAGACAAGACAAACAACAACGAAATAAGACGAAAGAATGAAAGCAGTCAAGGAAATCCCAGCAGGGCATCGCGAAAGGAAACAGACAGGCAACTATCCTATTGTCTCCCCCTTTCCACAACATTTCTGCAGCGATCCTGCAGAGTTCTGCAACCTCCAAACAATGAGTTTGTTCTGTCGTTTGTCTTGTTTCCAGTCCCTCCCAGCCCCACTGGCCTCATCATTCTGATTGATTTTACTGATTCCCTTATTCGTTTGTCATCCTGCAGCTGGAGATTCTGGACCCTGGAGCAGAAGACCCGAGGAAATTGACTGATTTGTTTGCTTCTTGGGAGACTAGGTCGTCAAACATTCACATGATTACGGGATTGTTCTACGGCAATGCAGTTGATTCGTCGTCGACTTTATTGCGTCCTCCTATCCTTTCTCGTTCGATTGGCTACGAGTTACCATGTCGACGGCAGGGTGGTTTGACTTGGCTGGATTGGCTGGGTGATCGGATGGTCAGGATAACTGAAAGATGTTAGGTGAGAGGCCATATCAACCCAATTAGACAAGTCGGTTAGGTCAGCCAAGACAGAAACGCGGACGCGCATGGCTGGACAGTCTAGTCTAGTCTCATCGACCAACAAAATGGCAGCAGGGAGGGGTGCAGAAGACAAGTGAGCCAGATGGTTACAAACGAAACAGGGCAGGATGATGATGACCAAGTCAAGGCAAGGAAATAAGCCCTGGCATCCATCGTGCCTGTCATAATTTACCCACTCTAATCATCCTTCCAGCCAGTCAGTATCACTCACTTCCTACCGTTCGTCTCCGTTACATCACCCTCCATCTCCAGGGAAGCTAATCTGGCTGCTACGCTACCGAAGCCTCCACCACCTGCTGCATCGACATGCATAACACTTGATTTGAGTCTCTGCGGGACCGACATCACCAGTGCATGACACTGCTCCCATTCCTATTGACCGTCGAATGTGTCTAGCCTGCCTGCCTGCCTGCCTGCCTTGATAAGGTTGATCACTAACAAGTCAAGCGACCAGTTATTCAACTTGTAGCTAAGTGGCCTAGGAAGTCTTTAGTAGCCGTGCTATTGCAGGATAGGAGCTCGATAGGCCTCATTTCTGGTAAGCGTAGACTCCAGATAACTCCGCGCCCCGTTCTCCGTCGGCTGTACAAGGTGCTGTGCATCGCACGAAATTTGACCTCGACACGAGTCGATTCAAGAACCAAGACAGTGGGTAAGTTCTGGTATGCAGGGGGCAGGTAGTGCAGCCCTGCGCAGGTCGTCAACGGGGCATCCAAAGAACCAATGTTGACTAGGTCATGCAAGACCGGCACTGCAGCTTCGCTTGGCCTAGCGTATATTTCTGTACGCTATTGACTTCCGGTCCCAGGGGAAATGGCGTAAGCAGAAAGTGATCCCTCATCGATCGATCCCGGCCCGCCAACAATCCGTACTACGTGTGGACAGTAAATGTATGGTCCGATCTGGGAAAAGCTCTGGCGGAACCGATCCTGTCAAGCTTCACATCTAATCGAACGGGAGAAGCCGTGATTCCGATCCGCCCAGGATCTGTATCCGTTAAAGTTTTCGAACCTGAGCTTGTTTTGGTCGGGGTGTACTGTCTGTACAAAGACCTATAACCTAAGAGAGAAATATGCTTGATTTGGAATGTAGGTAGGCAGATACTACTAAGACAGCGAACATCAAGCATGAGGCGTGTAAATGATCATTCCGAAAATAAGTTCCCAGTGCATGTTTCCCCTCCTTTTTCCTGATCTATGATTTGTTTGTGGTGGTTCCGATTGCCTGCAACGCCTGATTCCTCCCCTCTTTCTCCTAAATTAGACAACAAGAAAAAAAACAAATTGCGGCGCGAGTTTACATGAGCAAAAAAACGTTCCGTACCCAGCCCAATCCCTACCAGTTGAAGCAAGTGAAATACAATATGGAAATATGTGGTGTGTGGTGTGTGGTGTGTGGTGTGTGGTGTATGTGTGTATGTTAAGACATGGTGGCCAAGACGAAATGGTCCTGGCTAGTGTGTGAGAAATTTTGGGGTGATAGGTGAAAAAAGGCGTATGGTAAACGACGTGTCCAGTAGCAAGAACAGGGGTGTGAAAGTAGTCCAATGTGCAGACAATAAGTCGAATGAGACCCATGAGACGAATCCAACTCACGCCTCTAGAGGCCAGACCCCCTGCTGCTGCTACTTTGGAAGGGATCATGATGCCGGCTTGCACTTCCGACTATTACCCCCTGCCGGATGAATAAAACATACTCAACTTTACCCAGGCGGTCAAGGGGACCGACCTCATCATCAAATCAAAGATGAGCTTTGGTTTCAACCGCTCTGTCCAATGCAGGCGACAGAGTGGCAAAAAGAAAAAAAAAATTTATTGGCCAATGCCTTAGTTGGTACCAGGCTGGGTCGGAACGCCAGGCTTAGATGCCACTGCAGGCGGTCCCAATGGCGGAATGCGGTTGAGGGAAGGCGACGACAAGATCGACTGCTGACCATTCAACTGGGCCTGTCGCAGGGCATTCTCTCTGTGCCTGCGTTCCTCCTGCTCCGGTGTCATACACTTGATCGGTGGCGGGATTGGTGCGTCCGGAGAGCTTCTGCCCATCAGCTTTGGGCTTGGCTCAAGTTTCTGGATGGGCGGAAGTACAGGAGCGCCAGCGATGCTGCCAGAAGTCATGGGCCGCGGCGATTGCTTGGTTGGGCTTATGCCGGAGAAGGGCACTCCATGCGAACTCTGGGGCGGCGACGACCGACTGCCACCAGTCGGTGTGGCCATGAAAGATGGACGACCATTGTTGATGGATGGCAGCTGTGCATTGTTGCCTGTGCTCGGGCGTGGCGTTTGATGCTGACCATATGGTGTCCATGGAGCCCCGTGGTCCGACGAAGCCACGGGTGGGAATCCTGCAAGAGGACCTACGTCACGATTACCCTGAGTCGGTGACATGGAAGGACGGTTTTGAATAGGAGACGGAAGAGTCGGGCTTTGTATAGAATGAGATGACGAGGGGCGTCGTCCAAAGATACCGCCGTTGAGAGACTCACGGCCATTCGGTGGCAAATGCATAGAGGGGAGTTTCGGAGGCAGCTCTGTGGACGTCGGAGTAAATCCATTTATGCCTTTGTATGGGGAGAATGGAGCTCGAGGGGAACTCAGCGGCGCTGCATGCGCAGACGAGGGTCGACGCTCAGGTGACGCTGAGGGCAAAGAGGGAGGTTGATCCGCAGTCCGAGGAATCATGCGTGATAGTGACGGTAGTTGTTTGGATGGAGACTCAACGGAAGGCATCGAGCCACTGGACTGAGCGTGTTTCGTAGCCGAACTGGGAGACATTTCCACGTCGTGGACCTTTCGCTCGCCGTCGGCAGCGCCTGAAGGTGAAGTTGAGGAACCGACGCGAAACTTCAGCGGCGGTATCTTTGGCCTCTTTGCCTCTTCGTCGCGTCGCTTGCAGTCGTCACAGACGAAATGGAAGTCCTCCCGCTCGGCCTCGTGTTTGGAAATACCTAGGCATTTGCTGTGTTGCCAAACGCTGCACTTTTCGCATGCGACAATATGAGAGCCGTCATCCTATAAGAGATTAGCACATGCGGCTAAGGCAACGGAATAGAAACTTACCAAGTTTTGGCCGTGTACTCCGCAGCCCGAGCAATCGAACGTCCATTGCTCTTCTTGAGAAAGATCTTCAAGGTTCTTCCGGTACTTTTCCATTTCAGCCTTGAGATGTCTCTCAGACGCTCTACTCTCGCCTCTCTCGACCTTTCTGTGCTCCTCCTCTATGCGTTGCAATTCGTTCTCGTGCAGAATTCGTTTGCGCTCGCGATCCTTGATACGTTGCTCGCGAGTCATAATGCGCGTGCGTCTCTCGGTCTCAAGCTTCTTCAGTCTGTCTTCCTCCTTAAGTGCCGCAGCTAGCTCAACTTCCCGTTTGCGCGCTGCTTCGACAGCTTCGCGCTCCTGCCTCTCCTTCTCAGCCTTTCCGGCAAGTCGACTGGACCGCTTAGCGCCCGCAAGCAGCTGCATGTTGACAAGCTCTTTCTCGCGCTTGACCTTCTGTCGCTGATGGGACTCCTCTTCCTTCTCGATGATGGGAAGAACCTGTTCCACAATCCGGTCTCGGAGAATCTTTTCATCGGGATCCCTAGTCTTTTGAATCGTGTCCAGGAACTGCCGATAGTCCGCCAGCGTGACAGCAATGCATTCCCACTGCATAGCTGCGAAGGGATCCGCGGAGATGTCTCCATTCACACTGTCATTCTCCTCCTCAGACTCCTCCAACGGGTCAGCCCCTGTCACCTTTCTCCGTTTAGACGCTCTCACTGCCCGAGCGCTCTTTCTCCTTGACTTGCTCTTCGCCGGCTTAGGTGGTGGAATCGGAGGATCGGTGCGTCGGTAGAGTCGATTGTCATCCAGAATGTAATAGTATCGTCCATCGCGATCGTAGCCTATCTCTTCAATGCGCTAGATAGAGAACCGGAATGGTGAGCGGTTAAGCAATTGACAAATCAATCCCAGCAGGAGCACCTACCCATTGTGTCTGATCCAGCTCGCGCTGTTCTGGCATTTTGTCCCGAATGCGATCGGGGTTCCAAAAAGTCCAAATGGACAATTGGTGCAGGACGCGAAGCTTCAAGAACACATCAAACTCCAAAAACTTATTGGGCACCTCGTCATATCCAAAAGGGTTCGTGATATGAGGGGCCTTCGCGTTGTACTGGCGTCGCGTATATTCATCGAAGTTGTCGAACCTAAGACCAGAGGGCAATGGTGTCAGCGGTAACACGCAGTAGATTGGGGTAGTCAGTGAAGACGTACGTGAGACCACGATGCGACGACACCCATTTGAGAAGACAAAGTCCTATTTCCAACAGCTTTTCTGACGATTCCGGTTTCATACACTCATTCTCTAGGTCCTAGCAACCGACGCGAAGCGCAAAATGTCAGCCTTCGGCAACCGACAAACGCGACCGAGGGGGGATCGAGAGCTTATGAGGCCCGGGGCAAGGGAAAAAAAATAAATGAAGCAATCTCAGCCGCATAGGATGGTTCACATACCTCGATTCCAAAATCTTCGTCAATTTTCATTATTTTGCCGAAAATGGCAATGTATTGCATGACATTCGCAAACTCCCAGCAGTTCCGTAGCTTCTGAAGGAGGCCCTGTTCCTCAAGTGGCTGCTGCTCCGGAGCAGCGTCCACCTCGGAGCGGGCGCGCTTTCGCGATACCATGACGGCGGATCAAGACCATCAAAAGCGCCGCAGCGCAGGACAAGGTTTCGACGGGAGCGGCGAATCCGCTTCTGCAGTGAGAAGGGATCTTTTGCAATCAGGTTCCTGACTAGTTGATGATACGTGGGGAGATGACACGAGCGATTTGCACAGAAGGTGGTTCAATGTAACAAGCGGAGGGTGTGGCAAGGGCGTGATCGACGGGATGGTAAGTAAGTAGTTAGCAGGGTCAAAAGTAGACAGGAAATCAATCGATCGTTTTGCCAGGGCGGGCTTGTGTTTCGGGCTGGGCAGAAAGTGGTGAATGAGCTCTACTGCTGGGCTTGCTTCAGCCCCGGCGGGCGCGTCGAGACCCCACGGCCAGGTCACGTGGTTATCATCAATGGTTTGAACCGTCTGGCCTCCTGGCACTTCACAGATTTCGTTTGTAGACTGCACATTTTTCAATAGACTAACTGATTTGATATTAACTAAGGATAAGAGTAGGGGCAGTATGCAGTCAAATGACAAGACAAGACAAGAAATTGAAAGGGGAAGAAAGGCAGCGATCAGCAAGCAAGTCCTACTCATAAGCAACTGGGAGTTTTCAAGCAGCAGACCGAATCAAGACCAGCTAACACAACAATAAGATAAGATAAAAAAGGAAGAAGACAGCAGAAGCAACAAATAAATCTTGGTATCTCGCTCAAAGAGGGTCTATCTCACTCAGATGGAGGATGTGGAAAGGGGATCATAGAGGACAAGCAAAATGCACAACGACAGATAGCGCCATCCGTATCCACGCCACCGCACAGCCAAACCATTGTGACCGGAATGGAAAAGTGTTCAACACGAGGGGCAAGATAAAAGAAAACATGGGGAAGAATGAAGATGTAATGAAATCACGGCAGGCCTGGAACAGAACAGGCCAGGCAATGCGAAAAGAAACAACAAACCCTCTGATAAAAATGGACATAGAAACCCCCAAGCGCAGGCGGTGGTCGCGACCTTGAAATATGTTTCCTCTCCCCTGATCGCTTTTCTCTCCAAGCCCTTACTATACCTTTTTTTTCTTATCTCTGTTAGATCTTCATCTCGTTAATGCATTGCCATCCCACGTAGTTTGCGCCTTGTAATCCATGTTTCGCCTTGAGCCGGTCCCATGCATGTCGTAAGGTTCTCAAATATACCAAGCAATAAATCAAAAGAGGAAAAGATGCTTTTGAGAATTTTTACATGGCAACACCCGGTGCGCCATCGGAGACATTATCCGAAAGGTTGATGAGGAGCTGCGCAAGGCAACGTTTGGTGGCAGCATCGTCGCGGAGGACCGAGGAGAACGTCGCATCCCGCAAAGGTTCGGGAAGACACTGTCGCAGAGCTTCCCGCGCTCTGCTGTTGTCGCTCAGGCTGTTCTACCATCAGCACGTGTGGCTCATGCGGGGCGATGTACGACGGGGAATAAGCTTACCGAAGGAAACAGCGTACGACATGTTTGAGAAGCCGAACAGTCTGTTGCTCCACAAGCTGAGTCACCATATTACTCAAGACGGTTCCCACGGCGTAGAATCTTTCGTAGGTCGCGCAGATATACGCCAGGCCGATATCATCGAGCAGAATTTTTTGCACGATGAAAATAGCGACCGTCTTGCTCAGCTCGGAGCCGGTCTCCATGATGCGAAGGCAGAGAGGAATTATCTCAGTGGTGAGAAGGAAGTTGATCACGTCGGAAGAGTCATTCTTGACCAAGGCTCCGATCACTCCGAGCGACGTGAGGCGGAGGTACTCGAAAGGGCGCGATTTGGACGTCGTGTTGAGAAAAGGGTATAGGAAAAGAGGGATGTGCGCTGTGCGGCGGAGGAGGGTTGGATGTTAGATACGTTACGTTTCATTATGGAGGGATCTCTGAAGGGTCACAACGTACCATTCAGAAACAGAGTGCGGGTTTCGTTGTGGGAAGCGACACACTGGAGCAGAGCCAGCGCATTGCAAACTCGATTGGAGGCCGCGGCGGTGAGCTGTGAAGGATTCAACAGCGGGTATACAGAAATGATTTCCTGAAGTAGCGCAGTCATGACTCCTAGACGTCCGGGCCATGTTAGTTATTGCCACTCAGAAAAGTCAAGCGGGCCAGCATCGAGACCATACCGAAGGAATGCCAAATCACTAGCGCAAGTTCCGGAACCTGTTCTCTTTTCTTGCTGAGCTCCATGAGAGCTGCCTCTCTGCGGTTCGGGTCGAGAAGCTCTGCTACCCAGATGAAGACCTTGCGGTTCTCATCGCTGATCCCGCCATCCATCACCGATACCGCACCCGACAAAGTACCATCCCCGCCTAACCCTACAGCACCGGCTCCCTGAGAAGAGTTACCAGCACCGGCATTTCCTGCCATCGCAATACGGGTATAGTGTTGTTGTTGAGCGGCAGCGGCGGCGGCCGCCGCCGCCTGAACTTGGGCATGCTGTTGGGCGACCAACGAAGAATGCTGTTGCTGAGCCTGGTGCGGGTGGGCTTGGTGATGCTGCTGCTGTTGGTGTTGCAGCCACGAGGGATCAGCCTGCGGGTACTGATGCTGGTGAGAGAAAACGTGTTGTGTCTGCGTTTGGAGCATGACGGGGTTGGCGTAAGACTCGGAGCACAACGGGGACTCGTAATCCTCAGGAGAGAAGACTTGGGGGACGGCCCTGGGCGGATAAAAACCGGTCTGAGACAAGGAATTTCGAGGAGCAATAGTTCAGTGTGTCAAGAAGCCAGGCTCAAGATGGTACTCATTGATGTAGGCTATGTACACTGAAAGTGGTTGTGGAACAGAGTTGTCTCAGATCGCCGGGGAGGAAGTTGGAGTTCGAGAGGGGAGAACGGAGCGTGGAATTGATGAATGAATGAATTGGAATGGAGTTGGGACTTGGAACTACGGGAGGCGGGGAGGCGCTGGTTCCGCCCAGGCAGTTTGTGCCGTGCTTACTACAATTAACTACTGAGGAGTAATAAGTAACCGTCCTTCGGAGTTTCGCCTGGACCCTGGTCTTGGAACAACTCCGACTTCTAGATCTGGAACAAGTCAATGATAGTCCCTGTTTCTCGGACAATGTGATAGATTCTTTGCTTTTTCTTGATTCCAGTTTCGAAGCACTTGAGATCAATCCATGTCATCTTCTTCCATGCCTGGGCTCGGACCGTTGATAGGCGCCTTGCAGGTTACACCGCAAAAAATGTGCGCACGAGTTGATCCGGCAGGTGCATGATCAGTTTCTAGCCCATATGGAAAACACCGAGGGCATCGCGTAGGATGCCGTTATGTAGCAAATGCATGCTGTCAGTTGCAAAGGAGCTGGTAGTTCTCTGCCTGTACAATTGCAGCCACGAAAGATCGACTTCCTCTGGATCTACTTCTTATCAACCTTCTTCAATACAGCCCTTCTCCAGGTTATCTCATTCATTTCAACATTTCATATTTACATCTGGCTTCCCAGGGCTCGTGTAATGAGGCCGGTTGAATATCGGATCCTCCGAAAACTTAGCACATCGCAGGAGTTCGCGCAAAATTGTGAAAATCCGTGAAAACATAACGCATCATCATACATCAGATCAAAAAAAACATCATAATACATACACCATGAACCCTATAGAGCGCCGCTTCATGCAGACAGCATGGGATAATAAAAAGAAAGGGGGTTCATTGTAATCAGTCATTCGTTTCAAACATCGTTGGGGTCGTTCCGTCATTCATCATCTTCGTGAGCGCGTACGAGACCGCCGGGAGCGTCTTGTTTCTCGCGTTCTTCGGTCATCAGTGATTTCGCTGCCTACAACGCAATAGTTAGTAAGGTCACTTGTCACTATTCGCCCAAGAACAGGCGTGGTACTTACCATCGTTGGTATAATAATCAGAGTAGTAGTAGTAACTGCTTGGATACGTGTAATCCGTCTTTTCGTCGTCGTCACGGTGGTCTTTGCTTCTTTTCAGTCCCAGGCACAGCGCAAGCGCACCCAGGATAATTCCGACGGTGGCCAGACCACTCCAAGAGGATTTCTTTTTCTCGCCTGCGGTCGACGTTGCAGCTGCAGGTCGGCTCCCGAACCAGGTGCGTCCTTCAGGCCGAACAGCCCCATGGGAATGACGGTGGTAACGCTCTTCGACGTAAGTAGTCTCTTTTCTTCTTCTACGACCACAACCGAGACAGGCAATAAGAGAGTCCAGGATACCGCGGCAGCACAGGCAAGCACATAGTAGCAACAACAGAATCACACCGGCAATTGTTCCGATGACAATTCCTGCGATCGCTCCTCCACTGAGACCGCTGCTTTCAGCCTTCACACCAATCACCGCCGAGCCGGCTGTATTTACCGGAGCAATAAAGCCTTCGGTGGTCGTTATTGAGGCCGTGTGCGTAGCAGTCGATAAGCTTGTGCCTCGGACAGCCGGAGTGGCAGGCGAAGTGTTCGTCGCCCAAATAGATGTACTTCCTAGGATACACTGATTGTCGTAGCAGACATAGGCAGGACCGCAACAGTTGTCGCCACAGATCGTCTCGCCAACGCTGGCATCGCAGCTGGATGTCGTTGCCGCGATGTAGCTGCTCCAGGTGGAAGTGAATGTAGCGGTCTCCGTCTCGGTGCGGACATAGGTCGTGGTAAAGTACGCCCAGCTGCCGCTGCTATCACCGCTCACACACTCGGCTTGGCCATTGCTATTGGTACTACATGATTCGCTCGAGCTGCAGCAGAGCTGGCTGTAGTAGCCGCAGGGATTCGCACAGCGCTTTTCTAGGACCGTGCCGTTAAGATACTCAGGCTCTTCAAGTTCCAGGATTGTTGCGACTGCGGTCGGTGTTGGGGTTGCGGTTGCGGTTGCAGTCGCAGGTGCAGTGGCCGGCGAGATCGCTGTCGTGAGCTGAAGGTTTAGTAGAGGAAGTATAGAAATGGCCGACTGCAGTATGCGGGACACATGCATGGCGAAGAGAGAACGTCAGATTAGCGATGACAGCCACGAGGAGGCGTATACTGGGGCTTTGGAATGCCCTCTGGATTCCGATCGCTCTAAGCGTCCAGATTCAATGTTATCACAGCACCCACGTCGACGGGCCCGTTTGGATAGTAAACGGGCTTCATACAAGTGACAAAATCATATACAATAAACAAGGGCCAAGCAATAGATTGGAACGCGAGACCGATAATGGTGTGCCAGAAATCAAGAAAGAAAAGAATGTTTCCGGGGAAGCAAGAATGACCTGAAAGTCAGAAAGAGGGGGAAAGTGAATCGGACTAGGCCAGGAGCGAGTGTGTGTAAGAGTGAGGAAGAGCTGTTCATGCAGTCAAGATTCCGACGTCTTCCCTTCCTGTCTTTTTGATCCCCAGCCTCCATCTGTCCCGTCGTCTCCCCAACCACCGCAATTTCCTGCGACAGCAGCCACCAATCACTGTGACCCCGGAGTAAAGGAGTCATGAGAGTAAACAACTGATCTTACGCTTGGTAGATTTAAAATTGGAAATTGAGGAGGCTGGGAAAACCCACATGTTGCCCCTCGGTGCGGCGCACGGAGTAGTAACCTGTTACTGTTGAGTGTTGACATCCAGTCTACACCAACCCCGCCGCTCTTCGCTTGGGGTTCCTGACAGCGTCATCATCCTCTGCGCCAGTCACTAGTCACCATTTTGCCGGGCAAGAATTATACGCAGACTAATGAGTTTAGCCTGCTGGACAATGTCTGGGCTCCACCTTCAAGAGCATTTTTCCCGTGACGAAAGTCACGAAACTAAGAGTCGGTCAGTCCATGGTCTTCCCTGATTCGATCCCGGGTGAAGTTCTGTCAGGTACTGACTGCATGTCTCGACCACACCGTCACAAATCAGGTATCCAGGCATGGAGGTCCGAATGGGACCAGCATCTTCTTACGTGTCGTCGTCCGAGCCTATTTAGATCCTTACTTGGGCAGTGACTTCTGCGTACGGATGATGCAGGAGCCACAGTGATCTGACCAACGATCTGACCTATAATTCGTCTATACACGGACCCAGTCAAGTGTTCGCTCGTCGTCGGTCCAGAAGCCCTATTTATAAAAACGCGTTGGTGAAGCGGTGTGTGGCTTCGAGTGCGCCTATCAAACCAGAACCCCACGGAGTACGGAGTACTGTCGAGGTCACGTCATTTGATCCGGTCGGAAGTAGACTCGTGCTGGGGGCTATAATTCTTCTATGAGATGGTGTAGCTCTTCATCTTGTGCATCAATGCTACCTCATTGTCATTCTTATATACAAAATCGTCCGCATAAATCAATAGTCACGTAGCCTTTAGGCCTTCAAGCATAAACTATCATCATGAAATCGTTTCATAACCCCGATTCGATCGAGGACCCAGCACATATTTGGATGTCGGAGGCCTGAGCTGCCGCAAGCCCTAGCATGCCCATGAGCTGCAATCCCATTCATGCCTCAAATAATTCATTTATAGATCACCGGCAAACATATAAACCCTTCAACCTGAAGATGCACCCACGTAGGAAAAATCTCAAATAAACATTCCGGCCACTCCAATGAAGATGCCAAAGAAAATGTCCTCGAGGCTGGAAGTGCGTCTGGGTCCTGTCGCACCGTTTTCGTAGACTCCGGTGCTATAAGCCGTGCAGTATCCAAGACTCAGACCGTGACATGCCTCCAGACTGAGGCTAGAACATGTCGATATAGCCGCCGAAGCGCCTGCGCGAGTCGTTCCTGATCCGCCATCTACGGCGACTGTCACTGCATATCCTCCCCCGAGCTGTGATAAACAGCCGGTATATTCGCTCTGACATAGAGAATAATAAGATGTGCAGGCCTGAGCATTGGCGAACGAGGTCGGAATGACGACGAACGGATAGGCGGCTGCAAGCGTTGAGCCCGTGAGAGTGACACTGGTCGGTCCGGCGGTAGTTTGCGTAGCGCTCGCTGTCTGAGGGAATCGGAAGCTGCTGGTAGAATCTCCGACCACGACTACTCCGGTCCCGGTTGCAGAAAGCGTTCCCGTGCAGCTGGCTCCGGTCGGGCAACACGCAATATTGTTGGCATCATCACGAGTACAGATTGTATTGTCCTTGCAGCAGAGATCGGAATGGCCCAGCTTGGAACAAGCGTCATATCCGGAGGGGCAGTTGTCGTCCCGCTTCCTCAAGATTTGTAACACCTCGAATGCTCTCCTTCGAGACTCTGCAACATTGGGCTGCGAAAATGGCAAGGTCTCGACAGAGGGGGCCGCCGTATCTAGTGATAAAGCTGTCGAGGCGAAGAATGCGACCGAGATCCACCCGAGAAGCTTCATTCTTGAGGGCTAGGGCTGTCGCGCGCCCGCCAACAGGTTCAGAAATTGGTTGTGTAGTGTAGATTGACCTTTGTGAGGTCTTTTTCACGCTATGTTTCGTTTGTCTGATTGTGATGCGGAGGTACTTCGGAACTGTGATGTGATGCGCTGGTTGCACGGCAATCAACAAAGTACTTGAAGCGGCCGCGGCAATCTATAGTTAGATAAGTGGTGGTTAGCAATTGGTGTGTTGGATTGTTCTCAGAGCATGTCATGAAACCAAGCTAAGGTTGTGAAAAACACTCACAGAGTGACTGTAAGGGAATCTTTTTTCATCCAACCTATGAATTGGAGCGATCAAGTCTGCGGCGGATCAAGGTGGGTGATGAGAGCTGGCGCCGCATCTCTCGGCCGCTTCAGAACTTCAGGCAGCGCCGTCTCCACTGCAATCCCCTGCCACAGCAACGGACAGGCGCCCGCAATGGCTTCCCACCTCGGGTCTCCTGCCGCCCCGTGCTAGTATGGAGCCCGGGTGTCCGCCGGTAGCCCCTCCTGCGCCCTGCGCTCGACGGTGGATAAAGTCTGCTCCATTTTCCATTAGTATCACTATTATTGAACGATAGGCATCCTGGTGATGTCATTTCCGCAGTCCTTAACTATCGTCCCCTTCGAATTCCACATGACACTTTCACATCAGCTAACAAGGCTGTCGGTAAATGTATGCTGCCTGCTATGCTCAATTACACCAGACTCATTTGTCTGCTTGTATCACCGTGCGATATGCCGAGTCCCGAATTGTATTCGTACAAGGACACGTCGAGTACCATGACCTGGCATTTGATTGGAGACGCTCGTGCTGATTCATAAGTGGGGAGAAATCCAAAAAGAAATCACCATCTTACACCTGCCTCGACCACTTGTGCCTGTCACTTTGAATCTCACATGCTCACTCACCTTGCTACATTCGTAGAAACGCCAGCACTGCTAATTAGCAGAGAACATATTACCTGCTGAGATCGAGATGTCTTCCACTAGCAAAACCACACAGATGGCAATCCCCATTGTCGACTTCGAAGCATGGTCCAATACGGAAGACAAGGCCGCCCGCCGACGGGTCGCACAAGAACTTGTGCAAGCCTGTCAGCGTGTAGGTTTCGTTTACATCATCAATCACTCTCTGTCCGAAAATATCCTTGACCAGGCATTCGACTGGGTGAGACGCTTCTTCAGGCTCTCGGAGGACACTAAAATGCAGGCACCTCATCCTGATGGCTGGGCAGTGCATAGGGGGTATTCCTGGCCGGGCTTGGAGAAAGTCTCCCAGACCATCAGCACAGGGGACAATGAGGACACCCGGAAGAGGCTGAGAGAGATACCTGATGCCAAGGTGTGTCCGATGATCAATCGCTCGGAATTTTCATGGTTCTGGCGCGCGGGCGTCATGAAAACATGGCATTGACGATGCCGGATTCTGGTAGGAAATCTACGATATCGGCAGCGAAGAAAATCGTGCCCAGCCTAATCAGTGGATACCCGGAGAAGCGTTAATGGGCTTCCGCAGCTTCATGAATCAATTCTACTGGGAGTGTAACAAAGTCGGCGTCGAAATTCTCCGCGCTCTTGCCCTTGGCTTGAACCTGGATGATGAAGATCACTTGGCCAAGAAGCATTCTGGCCACAACAACCAGCTGCGGCTTCTACACTATCTGCCAGTTCCAGCGGATGATCTTGAGAAAGAACGGGTGGCTCGATGCCCTGCACACACCGATTGGAGCTCGATCACGATGCTTTTCCAGGATGATTGCGGCGGGCTGGAGGTGGAAGACGTCTCCCGGCCAAGTCACTTTGTTCCTGCTGCACCTGTCAAGAATTCGATCGTCATGAACGTCGGAGACCTCCTGCAACGGTGGAGTAATGGTTGATATCTGTTTCTTCTTGTGACTTGTGGTGATTGCTAACCTCTACAGACCGGCTTCGGTCTACCAACCACCGCGTCGGACTTCCAGACCTATATGACCGTTTTGAGGGTAGCAATCGTCTGACGCGCGAGCGCTTTTCCATTCCATACTTCATGGCTCCAGACCCTGACTCGGTCATTGAGTGTATTCCGTCGTGCATGGGCGATGAGGAAGCGGCCAAGTATGAGCCGATCACCCAGGCGAATTACAACCAAATGCGAGCCTCAATTATGTACTAGCTTGGTTCCTAAGTCTTGTAGGAACCCAGTTGAGCACATCCTTTGAGCAACAGATCTTTTCATGTAGTAGGAGGTGATAGATCTACTCCGAACTTCTAGCCCTAAGCCCTATTACATATCCTAAAAAAGCGACCATCCTTCACCGCCTGAGACCGCAACCAATCGAAGCGGAGCTGCATTCATGCGTTCATCCCCAGTCGCGTCCGCAACAGCTCTAGTTTGGAGACCCATAACCAGCCATTTACGGAGGGACGAGGAGTACTATCACGAGCCAGCCCCAATATTCGACCTTTGAAGCGTCGACCCTTCCTACGTAACGCTACTCACCCAATCAACCAAGACAATCGATTCTCACTCATAATACGCCCAGCACACTTCTTGAAGCAGCGAACATTTACCCAAACCGCACTACCCCTCTCTCCTCCGACCCCTCAACCCCGTTACCGACCACCAAAATGTCCATCCCTAACGAAGCTCTGCAGAAGGTCAGACTTAAGCCTCTCTCCCAGAACTCCGGCCTTCAAAACGAGCATAATCTAACATGTCGACAGATTCTGCAAGAAATTGAAGCCCAAGCCATTAGCTCCCAACAACAACTGGGCATCACCAAGGCTCAGATCACAACCAAACAACGTGACATCCGCATGCTCGAGCTCACATCGAAGGAAATCGGCGAGCTACCTAAGGAAACGCGCGTATATGAAGGTGTTGGAAAGATGTAAGGGTTTCTCTTTGCTATTTGAGCTGTGTTTCTACCTACAGGGGCCTTGAGCGTTCGGGCTTTGAAGATAGTTTTTACCTGCAATTTCCTCTCGGTGTTCTGCGGCTGTCCTCGATATCACTTTCCTCTTATCAAACACGGTTGCTAACTACAACTTCCGATGTCAAACAGGTTCGTCGCAGTTCCCATCCCCACCATCGATAAGCGCATATCCAGCGAGAGCAACGAGCTCAAAACCGAGATTACGGGACTGGAGAAGAAGCTGCATTACCTGGAGATGACGCATAAGAACAGTCGGGAAAACTTGGAGCAGATTCTCAAAGCCGGCCGAGCGTGAGCTGCTTGGTTGTCTTTACTTAATGAGAATAGCATTGGGTCTACTGGTCTTTCCTTCTTGTGGATATTATTTTGTCTAATTATTATAGTCGTTTTCAGAAGCTTCGTTCGCGTGAGAGAGTTGATGTTCATTCTCTATGGGAAAGGATGGGGTTTCTTGGAGAAGACTTCTGGTAGAAAAAGCCTTACCTGAAAGGTCCAGAGATCCAGCTCCTGAGCTGGCCCAGAGGGGTTGAAATAATCGAGTTGGGGTCACTAGTGGGGTAGTCTTCTTCCCTGCTAAAGATCATCTCGAGTCACAATACAGGCGCGGAGTACCAAGGACGCGGCTGGAGCGGAAAACCTCGTCCTTGCTGTGATACTGCGTTGTGCATGTCTCAGAACGTGCATATCTGAGAAGGAGCATGGGGAGATCGAATGGATGGAAGCAGCCACGACTAAAATTTCACACGGAGGGGGCTTGCTTGCTGATCAACCTGCCAGTCGAGACAGGTAGTGGTGAGCACCTCAGGGCGTTGTTGCTCAAGTTGCCATCTGTCGATCATCATAGCTTATCGGTGTGAATACTAGGTATCCTTGTCTTTGTCGCTTCGTAAGCTCTTCTAAACATAGTATATCGGGATAAGACGGCGGATTAAGTGTCAAGGATACACATGTTGGAGCTTGATTGTACCATACGGTGGTTCTGTCAGGCCACCGGTGGTAAGAATCGTTTTAGATGTTTTGAGGGCACACATACACAGTACACACCGGGTATGTGACACTCGTTCTGTGCATCAAGGACGAACATGGTTATACCTCGTAGCAAGCCGGATGACAAAGAGCATCTGTCAATCCCAGGTCTCTCTCGTTATCAGTTGCGTCTTGCTGTATGCGTCAGTCAAAAGCACCAGCCGGCCGTCTGCTGATTGGCAGTCGAGTGCTCGACCTGTCCCCGATCATACATAACGCTGACCGATGCTCATTTGTGTCGCTTTTGATGAGGTGATCAGATTGTCTGCCTGAGTAGAGCATGATAAGTGCTTGACTGGTCACTCTTGCTTGACTTCGAGCAAAGACGACCTGCTTCTTTCTTCTGTACACACGGAACACTGCTGGAGCTCTCTTGCACGTTTACCTCTACAAGCCGAGGGCAGCAATCTAACCTTTTACCCGCAACATCCGCTTCATCCAAGTCAGATCTTTGCTCTTGCTACAAGATCCCAACCGGCATAAGCTCACTCTTTTTCCGTTCAGGGACGAGTCCCGGATCCCAAGGTGGTACAAGATTACATTCACAAAGCGAGGGTAACACGAGCTGTCTTTGCTGTTCATGGCCTAGCGAGCGAAAGAGCCAAAGAAATCCACAATCGAGCGATAGCGTTAGGATTGACCTCTTACTACATTATCTTGGCCTCAAGCCTGGAAGGATCTCAACAGCGAATTTGATGTCGTATGTCTAAAAATTGCACGATTGCGAGAGCATTTCGCAACCACAATCATCATCATGGCTTCTCTCACTTAGCCTCGAAGTTACACTCCTCAGGGCTGATATTATGTGTATGTGGGATGCTCTGCGACACCTGTCTCGATGATGACACCCATCGAAGTTTCACTTTTCTGATTAGAGCATAGTACGTACGTACATACAGCACATGGCGTTCACTTATGCTAACCCTGGTGCACATCTACCCCCAGAATACGAAGCCGTGGGACCCTGACCTCTAAAGAGCTTTTGCCGTCAACATAAGATTCTGCTGTAGGGAAGGGCCCCTTTATGATCTGGATAATCCTGCAGCTGCGGGGCAAAGAGAACAGAAAAAGAAACTGACGTGCAAATCATTTCCCTTCTCCGCGATCCAACAACACGACATCCTGACCCAGCCACCCGCGGGAATTCCTTGCATCCTGCATGATAGAGAGAAGGAGGGTCCTCATTCCTCCGCGGATCGACTGACATAGACTGATCTCAGCCTCGAACAAGAATAGCATCTGGCCGTCTATTTGTTGGGTTTCAGCTGGTCAAGGCCGAGATAGTCTAGCAGGCAGGGCATATGGCTGCAGTGATTAGCAGTCCGGTCCGCCTGAGGTTGAGGAAGAAGAGGTATAAATATCTCCGACTCTTCGTTCGACTCTGAGAGGATAGCTACTGCAGCAAGACATATTCTTCCGTCACGAGTCACCAATATTGCCTGAACTCTCATCGTTTATTATCAGCATAGTCAATCAGTTGATTGTCGACAAGCACCATGCAGCTCTTTCTCTACGTTACTGCTGCCTTAAGTCTGGGAACTGTTACTACCCTCGCTGCTCCCTTCCCAGAGACAGCTGTCACTTCGCAGAATGCTTCCGTTTACCAATGGCACGGTTGTGGTTCCGTCGGGACTGTACGTTTATTTCTCACTACATGAGATTCTACGCTAATTATCAATGGATAGTGCCATAGCGACGGTGACTGTCAATCTGACTCGAATTGTCTAAGTACGGCACAAGGTGTACGTGCACACGCTCTGCTCCTTGCTCTGAAGCAGAAGTACTAAGAGAAGTTCCTTCATCATAGGACGCCAGTCACATACATTGCGGGCAGGAGAATTATCCTACTGCATGCTGGGCTGTAAGTTGACCGATTTTGGTCGTGACCTCGGGCTTTTCGCTGACGACTTTGTCTTCTGCTATTAGTGGTGGTATGAATAAACGACGCTCGAAATACGTTACTCGACGCTATACGTCAGTCAGATGGATGTAACACGAATGGTGGATGTAATGACTGTTGAGGATTTAATCGGGGCAAAGGGAAAACCGTTTTGATGATGATGATAATGCGAAAAGCCGATTTATTTTTTGTGTTTCGACTGTGCAGCTCGGCAGGAACTTTCCACAATTGCCTTTCTTCGCTCGCAAGACCCTACGTATATAGCAAATGTTTCACTGGGTACTACAGAATGACATGAGAATCAAGCTATACTCCGTACATTGTGATGACGTTGTTCAGCCACTTGTTCTTCGAGAAAAGTAGTAAGCTTTGAATCCCGAGATTGCGGCGGGCTCCAAGGTTGTCATTCCGAATATTGTCGATCAACACCTGTGTGAAGTTTGGGCTGCAAGACGAACATCGCCATCAGGTGTAGTTTTAAGATTGATACTATTCTACTTGGAATGATCTTCATGATGTCGGGGATGGATAGATGCCAGACAAATACCAGACGATAAAGGGCTGTAAGATCAGGCAGCGCAACACGCCCCCCCGGAGGTATCCGAGACCCGTAGCGCTCATTGGTGGCATGTCGCAATCAGGGTGGCGGTGGCCATGGGGTCGAGGATACGTAGTCCCAACCGAAGTCTGGTAGGGTTTGTTGATATGTGTTCTAGATGACTTGGATCAGTCGCATTGGAAGATTGGGTTCCCTTCGAGCTGTAAGGGATTCGCATGAGTAGGGAGCTTTACTGGTAAATGAGGCTGTGGTTGAGGGTTGGGGGCGGAAATCGATGGCTACAGTACGGAGTACAGTATGTACAGTATAGCCTGGGCTGGAGATCGCACCTGTGCGCAAAAGCTAAGAGCAAAGTCCGACTCAGTGTGGCTCAGTGACCCAAGCGGAGGGCGTCTGGTCAGGTGGCTGAGAGCGACTGTGATTTCCTTAGTCAACTTATCTATTCTTATTAGATAAGACTGGGAAAAGGTCATGCTGAATCGGACAATGATCGTTGGTGGGAGTCAAAAGAGATACAGTAGGTACATACGCAGTACGTACGTATATGTACTGTGTAAACCATATAGAGTGCAGGCATAATCCACCGAAATGAGGGTGTTGTCTACTCCGTACACGTCGACTCCACTCTCGGGCAGGACCAACTCACTCTTACCTTAACTGCTTTCTTTGCACCATCGGCTGGACTGGGTCCGTCAGGTACAGTCCAAGTTGCCCCTCTTTTTTGTCCTTTGGTCCTCCAGGGTCCCTTACTTCGCTGGTCCATGGATACTGCAGCGGTTGTTCCCGTTGTTCCCTTGGGTTGTGAATTGACGTTTCAACATAATGGATTATGGCTACTGTATCAGACTGTAATGTGTATACTGTATAGGCATTGGGTTACCAGTTACCCCTCCCCAAGACTTACCTGCGATCAAATCGTCACAGTAAGTCTCTATCTCACCATTTGCCTTCTAGTCCTTATAGATCAGCCCTATATGAGCGGACTAGACACAGGCAGCGATAGACAATTCGAGATTTCTACTCGTAACTACTACTGTGTGGTCACTCGCAGGAGAGCGCCAGCCTTGGAGGAGCAAAGCAAAGACAATGGCAGGATCGGTTGCCAGATGATCAATCAGCTCGGCCCAATGATGCCAATCATTCCCCCACTTCAGCTGAACGAGAATAAGAGGCACGAGGTTCTTTCTTTTCTCTGGTTTTCTTTTTCTTTTCCTTGTCTTTCATTGCATCTCTTTTCCTTTCCTCCTCGTCTTTCCCTCCGTTCTTTCTACTTCTTCGTTTTTGTTTTGTTGGCGTATTCTGTCTTGTTCGATCCCACCCACCAACTACCACATCCCACTCCCAGCCTCTCCTCTTGTTTATCTCCCACCTCAGTTCCAGTCGACGTCACCGCCTGCCATTCAGTCATCCCATCCCTTCCCC